GGCATATCGGATATCGGCCAAAATCCCAATATCGTGCATCCCTAGTCACAATGTTTACGCTGCAATGCATTCTGGATAAATGAAGTATGCTAACGTCCCGTAGCACTAGCTCTGTCCAGCTTAAACAGAAATGAGTAACATAACTTTGCAGTTTAAACCGGACCATGAGGAAATTAATGACGCAGAATCACAAGAGGTGATGAAGATGATGATATCTGCTAGCAATAATGACAGATGCTAACTCCTAGCAGCGCCAGAAAAACTCTCTCCATTTGGCCCTCATCTCCATTACCTCTTGTGATTCTACATCGTCATTAATTTCCTTATCCTTATTCATTGGACCCTCTATGGATAAAACCATAACGAATGAAGTTATAAATATCATTTATCAATAAATTCCAGCCTTAGAAGCTTTAGCTTTTGTTTTATAAAGAATTTTTAAATCAGATTATCACAAAATTACATTAAAATAACCAGAAATGTGTTTTTAGATCCACTTATCTTTTCATTAGTTGTAAAACAAAACAAAATCTTTACCTCCTCTTTATTTAGAAACACAAACTAAAATTGTATAAAAAAAAAAACCCAATATATTTATTATAGAATATGTTGAACAAAAGTAATAAGTTGTGTTTTATTAAAAAGTCTAGTAATGCAGCTTTAAAGAACCTTTATTCAGCTGGACCTGGAGCAAAATGGGTCTTGATATAATAAAGTTTGTAGACAGTAACAGACTCATGCAGGCTGGATGCTGACTGATGCTAGTATAATCAATGCATGTTGTTCTTAGTGTTTATAATGCAGCTCAATAGCTCCATCTGCTGGCTGACTGACAGCAAAGCAGCTACAGCTGCTTTTAGGTCCCCTATCATGAGTCCAGTTCAAAGTTCAGGCTTTGTTAATGGAAAATAACCAAAAAAAAAACATTTGTTTTTATTTATTATTCTTTTAGTAATCAAAGACTAATCAAATTGTGTTAAATTAAAGGCTGTAAACTTTTAAATAAAAGCTCAATTATCAAACATTGTTTCAGTGAGGTACTCAAATCTTTCTGTATTCCTCAGTGTTTTTGTCCATTTCGTGATTCTGCACACGCTTTTTCCTTCTAGGTTTGTTTTTGATAAAATAAACACGTCTTTTTTTTGCATAAAAGAAATTTTTACATTTTATTTTAAGACACAAATGTTACAAGTGTTGATGTCCAAGGCTGCAGCATAACACCCGAAGTAAGATCTAACATATCTGATAAATAAGATGGCTGTGACAGAGTCTCTGTATAGTAGTGCTGCTATAAGCTTAGACTGATGGAGGACATGAAGATGAATTTTCCTCACTCTGCTTCATTCAGCCAAAAAAAAGTTGATAGAAGTGCAACGTTTTCCAAACATTGTGCTCAATCCGCATCTCTGCATCATATAGCCTTCATATAAATATATTGGCGACTTTTACATTTTTAGACTCTGTAGGATACTGAATATTCTTCACACAAACATAATTTTGCTCAGATTAACCATTTCCAATGTTACTAGACTCAATAGGTGACAAACGTTCAATTATCTTTGACTAAAGCTTCTTGTTACCAGAGTCACATCAAATTACATGGAGTGAAATCTTGAAACAATGTCATAGAACTTATATATCCCAAAGAATATGTTTATGGGCGTACAAAAAGACGAAAACGAAATCTCCTGGATGAGTGAGCGTGACTTAATCAAAAATGTATTTGTCATGCAAAAAAAAGGGAGAACTAATTTCAGTATAGGAGGATGTTTCCTATTTTTACACAATTACAATTTACTGTGATATGCTTTGATCGTGAAGTAGGGAAATACTTTGGTACCATTACTGTCCTTTTTTTCCCTCCTATTTGGGTTTCAATAAGCCTGTTTTGTTTTATAACCCTCTCTGTTATATGCCATTTCAGTACAAACTGTAATTATAGATTTGGACCCCCTTTTGCCTTCAGAACTGCCTCAATTCTTGGTGGCATAGATTCAACAAGGTGCTGGAA